CGACAATACTTTCATCAAGGGAAAACTTCAACTCAATTGGCATGGATCCATGTTCCTTGAAACTTAAAATATATGCTGCTAGACCACTCCCTTCTTGCAAACTATCGAGTGGGACCTTCCATGGTTTTGATGATACTGTTTGGCATATAAGGCATAGAGACCAATCCATATTTCCTATTCATGGAAAAGATTATTGAAAATTGATAAAAGGAGATGTTTTAATGTGTATTTCCAATGAGTTGCATCACTTACCAGTACAATATATTGATACTTCTGTGTTGGTTCATGAACAATCCCCTCGTGGTCACGATCAAGTAACTTCTTTCTTATCGCTTCAAAAATTAGGTTTTTGGTTAAAAACCAAATATTTTTTGCCTATTTTCTCGAAAAATTCAAGATTTCTTACCTTACACATTTCATTATTTAATGTTATCTTCTTCATTCTGGTCTATAAGGCTATCAAGAACTAAAAAACTTACAGACATGGTCCGTCTGCCATTTCGAAAAAAAACCCACAGGGAACCCAAAATAACATAAACACAATTATTGGGCTTCCTGTGACAATTAAACAATAATTTTAGATTAAAAAAAACGTTTATTTCCCTGCTTATGTATCAAAGTCAATGGGTAAAAGGGATTGCACTGAAGGAAAATAGATTTAAAKAAAAAATWAKGAAAARAACCTCGAAATGGGTTATTTAATAGTCATGGAAAATATAAAAAATGCAAAAAAAAAACAAACTATTTCCATTGCTTTTGCTGTTTTACTTAAGAGGGATGTATTTAGTTAAACTGCATAATATCTAAGTAGAAAATGCATTAATAGACCTGTACTTTGCAATTCTCAACATTTATAGGCATGATTTGAGCCCTCCCCCTATATTTTGCCCTTTTTCACCCCCCTGAACTCAGATTTTACCCTTTTAAAACTGTTAGTTGTACCCAGAACATACTACAGGTCGTTTCTTGGTAGTGATACTTGCTGGCCAGGTTGCGTGTTCCTTCGAACGCTACGTCTGTTTCTTAGTTTTTCCCTTTCTTTCTCCTTCTTCTTTCTGGCCTCCTCTTTCGCCCTTTCCTCCTCAAGACTTCTCCTTTCTTCTTCTACTTCACGACGCCTCTGCTCCATCTCACTCTCTCTCTGCTCCCGTGCTCTTCTCGTGTCTTCGTCAATCTCCTCTTCCGTAAAAGACATGTCTAAAATGAAATCTGCCAAAATAAAAAGACGATCCAAATTAGTTTTTACCAAAAAAGGAAAGATCTCGCTAGCTAACATCTGTTAGAAATACTACATACTTGTATCATTTAGAAGAGAGATTAATCCAAAAATTGATAATGAAAAAGATCCGAGTAAAAAGATAAATTTAATACCGCCTTTTTTACTCTGACGAAGGATTTACAACCGAAACATCACTAAGTTTCAACTCCCTTTTTTTTCGGTGTTAAATTTATCCTTTTTACACAAGTGTTTCTTTATAAACACGGAGCTCAGACTAGTTGCCACCATTCTAAGGAAAATAATGTTAAGTAATCGTAAACATCACTCGTGGAGGAGCGTAATTGGAAATAATCATAATCAAGAAAATAACATACCTTGAGTTGGGGCGTATGACATTGTCGACTATTTTGCTTGATAAAAACTTGAATGTATGCTAGGTCAGAATGCTAAGAATGCTAAGGCAAATATATTACTTTTGGAAACTATATGAAACCAACATTGAAGGCTTGATTATTCATTAGCAGATTTCTCATAATTCTAAACTAATATACCATGTTGTTCAAACCCGATTAGTCCTAATGGTTGCACGGATAACCCAAGCTCATTACTTAATTTAAGAGAATGTATGTGAATCTATGTAAACAGTTGATTTATGACTTAAATATACAAACAATTTCGCTTAAACTTATTGTGTGAATTATTATAGCTACTGGTAAGCTCTGGAGTGATTTTCAGAACTATGATTTTTTTTTTCACCCTCTTAATATAATTTGTTAAGCCCTCCATATCGACTTCGAACAGCTCTAAATTTGGTCAATTTTTTCGTCAAAATTCGAGTCCTAACGCAATGTGCCTTTGCACAGCTGTCAAATAATAACTTACGACTGCAGACAAGCTGGTTTCATCGAGCCAGTTAATTTCCTGAGCCATGAGCTCTCCTAAGGCAAGTAAAATCCGTGTCAAAACCGGCATTTTGAAACCGTGTACGAGAAACTATTGTGCAGAAAAATACAAAAGATCTACCATACCAGGAGGTACCGGGAGGAAAAATGAAAGAGTGGAATAATTTCGTAGACATGATCTTCCGGCATGGTGGATCTCTTGCATAAGCGTCCAGGCTCCCGCTGCTTCTTCTGTACAATAGTTTCTCGTATATAGATTCACATACATTCTCAAGGCAGATTTCGTACCTCTTTCTAAAAAGGAGGAGACAGTATCGCACCCAGTTAACTAATGTAATATAGATTGAAAGATAGAAAGCGCTGGGATATACCTCAGATACCTGGGATATACCTCAAAATCCAACCCAGAGTTCAGTGTCTACCAGCGTACCAGCATAAGCAATTCTCAAAACAAGTACTGTACATCAGTGTCTACTGTTCGGATTATTATCTTCTTTTGTCCCTGTCTGGATGCATACACTGCATGAGAACCATTCTTGTATCAGCTTCTTCATGTGAGCATGGTGGTAAATAGGATAGATCCACACTGCCATCTGTGCAAACAGATGTACTTCACGTCCACAAGTTGAGAGAAAAACCTTGTCAGTTTTGACATCAGTTTTGATTAGATATGTGAGTCAGTTTTGATTAGATGTGTGAGGAAGTTGAAGAGCTCTGTCTTGTTTTTATCTAATCTAAGTAAAGCCTGCCAGTTCCCTGGAAGTGCATTTGAAAATCTAATGAACCAACATCACGCAACCAATGTGAACCAATCGTCTCTGCCGATTTATTAACAAGTTCGTGAAAATTCCATGTGGTAATTAACTGCAGTGGAAGTTTGCAGTTTGCGAGGTTCAAAGGGACTTTATTCTTTCTTACACTCTTTATCCAATGACGTTCAAACACTGAATCTGAATTTTAATTTTCAACTTGTGGTCATGGTCTTCCTCATTTGCTTTTAAAAATTTAAAATTTTTACGCTGCTTTTAAGGTATCTGGGGACAGTTGCTTTTAGTACCGACAGTGACGAAAGAAACGCATGGAAATGGAGTTTATTTAGCTTTGATCCGGTCAATATTTTCTCAAATGAAGGATAAAAGACCAAAATATGTTTTATATATAGATTTCATGAAAATCGAGTGTAATTTATTCAAGTTATGGGGAAATCCTATTTTAGAGAATATAGGGCTGATTTGCGAAATATTCAAGTTTTTAAACTTGAAAGTGTTGTCCAGGATTTCCCCACTCGAGTAACTTAAGGTCTGGGTCAAATCTCTCAAATTCACCCTAGCGAGGTGCTTATAATTATAATTATAATATCGAAATCGAGGCGCTTCTTTGCATATGATATTTGACCGTCAAAACACGGCGGCTGGTAGAGTTAGTACGAGTGACTTGACATATAAATTTCTTATTTACACTGAATGTTTTTCCAACTTTTTGTATGGTAGATTAAAACAGAAATCCTCTGGGTCCCAGGACTCGAACTCCCTTTTCATCTTCCGACTGAGATTGTCCTGAAAAGCATGGATGCATGGATGATGGCATTAACATAAATACTTAAATACTTTTTTTGGCATAAAATCCTGGTTTTAAGTCATTTGTTTGTGCCACCCATTTTTAACTCGGAGATTGCGTAGCAATCGTAGAGTTATTGGGAGGGGACGGCTGTCACTCGCTCGATCACTTTCCTGTAAACTCGAGCCTGCGATGTCTTTGTCAGCAGTTATTCATTTAATTATATTAATGTATTCTACTTAATTATTATTTATCATATCTAATTTTTCATTACTGGTTTCCCTGTGCTATATCTGATTGAATTGATTTATTTTTTGGCAAATAAAGAAATCAAAGAAATGGGTCACCTGGGATCTGAACCCGGGCCCTCTGGATTGGAAATCAAAGGCACTACCGGTTAGGCCACGCGTGCTAATGTTACATGATATCGGGTAGACTTGTCTTTTAACTGATTGGCGCTCGCCCGTGCTTGTCTAGAATTCGAAGTTAAAACTATAAGATTTTAACGAAAAAATCTGCATTCAAATGTCGTTTACATAAAATTCTATTTGTAAAGTAAATCTAATTTGATTCGTTGTATTGTTCAGTCACAAAGGAAGCATGAGGAAGACTCGCCGATCCGACATTAAATTCGTCTCGAAAATCATTTTACGTGTGTTTTATTTATCCACGTTCGTCTACAATTCAAAAAATATATTCGCTCGCTACCGTACTATTACATTGTAATATTTGATACATAGTTCATTGTGTGGTTAGACATCGATAATACTATTTTGAGCCGCTACGGAAACTGGCAAACAATAAAAGCAACGGTGCGTATAGTTGGTCGGGGATTCAATTGAACCGA